TTACACTTCGTAAATGACGTTTGACTAAGGTGGTGCAAATAGCAATATAAATACCCATTTAGCTATTTACACCACCTATATAATTATTAAAAATTTTCACTTTTTATAATTTCAAGGTACTTTACCACTTTTGACTAAAGTATGGTGCAAATAGTGACCCATTAAAATTTCATGAACCTGAAAAGGCAATCCAACATTCCCCCAACTATCCAAGCTAGAAAGGCTTTTTAGGTTTGTTTACTTTATTTCTTTATTTTTTGTTTTTTCCCCCTTTTTCAAAATTTTCACTTTCCTACTCTTCAATTTTTTTTTTTCTTCAGATTGTCAAGATTGATAGCCAAAGAGAAAACAACAACAACAACAATAATACTACTACTAATAATAATAATATTAATATTAATAATAATGTTGCCATTGTTCAATGGCTAGTACAGTTTAGACTTCACAATTTTTATATGATACCCGTATAAAATTTGATACTAAAGTAACGAGTTTGATCAAGTTTAATCTTATTTTATCTCAAATTGTTAACGAGTTAACACGTCATAATGACATGTATATTAATGGGTTCTTAACACATTAAGATACATTATGAACTTATTTAGAATATTAAAATAATTGTGTCTGCACGTACGTACCTATTACATGACAAGATACCAACTTATTAATGACATTGTTGGTTTATGACTTTTGGGTAGTCAACGGCTTGCCAACAATATCGTTAAAATAACGAGTAAAAAATATACAGAAAAATATTGAGAGAATAAATATATTGTATTTAAATATTGCATCCCCCTTCACATGTATGAGATCTGTTTATACATATTTTGGGTTATGAGCCCCATAAGGAATGGAAATCCTAGACTGCATCATATTGGGAGTCCTTGTTACATTGGAAATGAAAAGTCAAACCGTACTACACTATGAATAATAAAAACAATCCTTGTTAAATTCTAAAAACATAATAAATTTTAATCCAGGTTATGTCCCTGGTTTTATGTCCGTTTTTTCTGTTAACTTCTGAATAATAATAATAACTTCTGTTATCTTTTCACATTATTATTACCATACACATGCATACACAATATCTTTTTCTTACATTCTTCAATGGTAAGTTTGATTTTATTTAATTTTTAATTAAATATTACCATAATTATATTCAGTAATATATCATTTCTATAATTCTTACTTCATTAATATTAATATGAATTATACAATTTATATATATATATATATATATATATATATATATATATATATATATATATATATATATATATATATATATATATATATAATACACACACACACACACACACAATTATTTTAAAAAATATTTTAACATTAAGTATTAATATTGGGCATATATTTTAGCGCATCGCGCATATGAAATACTAGTATGAATAATAAGCCCAATCCTTGTTACATTCTAAATAATAAGCCCAACCCTATTACACTCTTAAGTTGCTTCGTACTGAGTATCCTTCTAGGGCTTCCTTGATCCAGTTACTTTCTTGAGCCGATCTATGTGGCCCAGACCCTTTTCGTTGACTAGTCCGACCGGTCAGCGCAATATATCATCCATTATCCGGTCCCTCATTTTTTTGAGATTTCACGAAGTCAATGTGTCAGGAAAGTATCTTAAGAGTATCCTCCAACCAGTTATCCGTTTCTAAACTTCAAGTTTTCATCCAACCAGTTACTTCTTTCCGAGCCCTTTTCTAGTCAGTTACTCCTCGAAAAGACAAGCTTCCCTCCCACCAGTTGCTCATCCTCAGTAGCTTATTGGCCAAATACTAAGTCTCCATTTCTCTCCAACCAGTTTACTCCTCGTTAACGCATACTTTGTATGGCGTGACCATTCGGTTGGCGGTCTTTTCCACCCTCAACCATGTGTTGGAGGTTTTTAACCTCCTTGGCTAACTCTGCGGCGTCCTCGACTTGGGCTCCCTGGATAGGCTCGGGTATTTCTCCACTACTCTTGGCCATATCTTTCGGATCGGAGAGCCAACTCTCAAGTATTCCATTTCCATTGGCTGGTTGGTCCACGGATCTTCTAGCCGGGCAGTCTCTGCTCGTTGGCAAGGATTGAGCCTAGTTGGCGTTGATTGGATCATGATCGCATGATTGGGGGATTTAGAGGTGAACGGCTGTCTTTGGGGGCCTAGTTGCTCTAGGACCGAACGTGTTGGGTAGTTCTGTCGACCGATGAGTGAACTAGGTCCACTAATTCTTTTTGGGGACTGGTCTTGCTTATTTATTTTCTACAGACGACCGCGACCAGTGGGGTCTATCTCTATGGGGACCAGCCCGGTGCAAGGTCGCGTTGTAGTGCTTCCAATAGACGCTCGACGACTTCTATTTGTTGGACGAGGTCTGTTTAGGCTAACCGGTAAGGTTTGGGCGACCGTTCCAGTAGACGACCATTCTTTTTCTTCCTGAGCTTCATCCTCTGACCACTCTCCTTGGGATAGGTGGAGTGACTGGACAATGCTCTAGAATTAGGACGGTGGATCAGGGTTTCACGTAGGTCGTGGGTCGATTGACCAGGTTGGGCATGTCGAGGAGCGGTGACCATAATCCAAGGATTCAGGATTTGTATTTAGGTTTTGAAGAACGAACGTAACTTTTCATACCGATCCCTATGGACGATGCCAATGTTGGTTTTATGAATTTTGGGTAGTCAATGGCCAGCCAACAATATCGCTAAAATAACAAGTATAAAAATATAGAGAAAATATGGAGAGAATAAATACATTGTATTGATGAATATTGCCTCCCCCCTCTCCATTTATGGGAGGGCAAATTATGTTGTGCATCCGTATGCACCATGTGGTGCATACGGATGCAAAAACGACGTCATTTTAATAAAACACGCGTCTCCCCTTAAAAAAAAAATCAGGTTCGATTCTCAGCAACAACATATGAACTAAAATTCCATAATTGATGAACTATAATTCCATAATCGATGAACTATAATTCCATAATCTAATCTATGAACTAAAAATTCCAGAATGAATGAACTAAAATTCCATAATCTATAAACTAAAATTTCATAATCGATGAACTACAATTCCATAATCGATGAACTATAATTCCATAATCATTGAACTATAATTCCATAATCTATGAACTAAAATTCCAGAATGAATGAACAATATAATGTTGTTGCTGGGAATCGAACCTGAATTTTTTTAAAAGGGGAGACGCGCGTTTTTTAATAAAACGACGTCATTTTGGCATCCGTATGCACCATGCATGGTGCATACGGATGCACAACATAACTATCCGTATGGGAGGGTCTATTTATACATATTTTGGGCTAAGAGCCCTATAAGGAATTGAAATACTAGACTGTATCATATTGGGAGTCCTGCCAAATTATGCTGTGGAACCGTGTCCACCTTGCGGTTCCAAATTATGCTGTGGAACTGTGTCCACCTTGGTGGCACGTGTCGTGTGCTGATTCGTTCGCATATTTCTTCCTGGGCACTTATTCGCACCTGAGTGCATCCCTATATATATATGCGTTCGAAGGCTTAAAATTATGCATTCGAAGTCTTGAAGGCACAAAATTATGCATTCGAAGGCTTAAAATTGTGAACTCGGCACAAAATTGTGCACTTGAAGTCTTGAAGGCACAAAAATGTACACTCGAAATCACAAAATTGTGCACTTGAAGGCTCTGAATTGTGTACTTTAAGGCACAAAAATGTGCACACGGCCAATTTTTTATTTTTTTTTCTATATTTGTAATCTTAAAAAATGTGTACTTGAAGGTACAAAAAAGTACACTCAAATGACAAAAAAGTGCACTCGAAGAAAGAAAATAACGCGCCCAAAGACGAAAAATATGCACTTACAAAAAATTTTCAAAATGTCACTGTATTTGTTTTTTTTTTAAAAAAAAATTTCCTTCATTCTAAGCGGTTGATATCAAGGCTGAAATTTAACCTTATCTTTTACCTCTGCACCTCTTTTCATTTGGTCAGTCGTGTATATATATATATATATATATATATATATATATATATATATATATATATATAAAATTAAGTTCTCGTGCAGTTAAGTGTCTCCCGTGAGATTGTGCGGTGAGTAATGTGCGTGAGTTTTGTACTTAAGGTGTGTGGTCTTGTACTTAAGGTGTATGAGTTTTGTGCTTAAGGTGCGTGGATTTGTGTTCTTAAGGTGTTTTGTTTGTGTGCTTAATGTGCGTCCACCCCGTACAACTGTACGGGAAGCCCTCCCCACACATGATCCCTTCGATATATATATATATATATATATATATATATATATATATATATATATATATATATATATATATATATATATATATATATATATGTATATGAGAAAGTTCAAATGCAGCGATATCCTTAGGTGTGGCGGTGCGGCAGAATTACAGAATACACCAACAGTGTTAACAATATGCACTAATAGTGTAAGGGAAACACACCATAATGGAATGCAAAAAAAAAAAAAACCAAAAAATACACAACAGACCCAAAAAAAAAGTACACTATATAACTCACCACACCTAATGGTGTGTTTTTGGTGATGCGTACATAATTTGTGTGTGTTTTTGTGGTGCATTTTCCTAACGTTGATGGTGTGTATATATTTATTAAACTATTGGTGACGTCGTACCGCCGCATCTAAGGACATCGCCGCACTTGAACCTTACTATATATATATATATATATATATATATATATATATATATATATATATATATATATATATATATATATATATATATATATATATATATATATATATATATATATGTAAAGAGTTAAATTAATTAAAATTAGATGAATGAAATGTATCTGCCTGTCATACTTTCCACCATGTAGCGATAGATATAACGTGGGGTGGACGCTAAAGGTAATATCTTCCACCATGTAGGTGTAGATATACCGAGGGTTGCCAAAGGAAAATAATACCGTCTTTCTCTACCTATAAATGGATTCAATCCGTTGGATCATTATCATCAATTCTCAACCCATGTATAGTACTACCAATATGAAATCACTAACCATGTTCTGGGTTTCCATGCTAATGTTCATTTCCTCTCTTTGTATGATCCATTCTCATCCTGAAAGAGATTTAATAGCGAAGCTCAAACTTCAAAACGCTTTTGGTCCGAAAGACACAGCTTTTGATCCAAGAGGCGGAGGACCTTATACGGGGGTTAGAGATGGCAGAATTCTCAAATTTTCCAATGGAAATTTTGTGGATTTCGCCATCACGTCACCTTTTAGGTAAAAATTATAGAAGTTAAAACTTTTTTTTTTTTCGGCGTAGCCCATAGTTTTTGAGACAGTTGGTCTAAAAATTTAAGATTGCTTCATACCCAAAGTCAAGAATCAAACTCTTGATCTTTGATTAAGGATGAATGAGTCTCTTTCACTCAACAACACTCACCTACCGTGCTGCAAGTATCATTGTACAATATTACAATGTGACCAAACATCATTAATTAGCCCACCTGCCTACGGATTGTTATACCATGGATCAAGGTGTATCTTGGAATGTGATCCAAGAATTATGTGTTTGCAGTTTACATATTCTGTATTTTTAATTAATCGTTTATGTGCTTGTTGCAATTAATTGTTTATTTGCCTATAAATAAATTGAATGCACATAATTAACATGTTAATTACAAACACATAATATGTTAGCTACATATATACGCATAACACTATAAATATAGACACATAATATGTTAACATGGCAACTACAAACAAATAATATGTTAACAACATATTATGTGTTTGTAGTTAATTTGTTATGTGCCTTTAATTTATTTAAAGACAAACTGTTAACTGCAGACACATAATTTGAAGGATATTTTGGACCCATATCTACAATGTAAAGTCATGGTTGAAAAAAATCACTAGGCGCTCCTCGGGCGTCTGTTTTGTTTTTCTTTTTTTAGTTTTTTTAAGGCTTGATAATTATAAACTATTTAATACTTTAATAGTTAATACTAAAATATTAATATTAACCTAGAAAACATCTAGAATTGTAAATTGTATAAAGAACATATTGATCTATCACACGATTTAGGGTTGTTTCGTTCAAAATGACGCCGTTTTGAGTGAAATGACCCATTTAAAAGAAAAAAAAAATGAAACAATAGCTAATCGGCCGACTAGGTGGTCTAGTTCGGCGCCTAGGTGACCGGCCGCGTAGAACACTGATTACGGTGATAATCTAGATAGTCAGCCTAGACGCCTAGACGCCTAGACGCGATTTTTGCAACTATGTGTAAGTTATTAGACCTTGGTACATGGTATAATTTATTTGATGTTCTGCCATGTAAAGTTAGACGATGGCCCTGTTTGGTAAAATAGTTAGCCTATCAGTTAATTTTGGGTTATTTGATCACTATTAATTGTTTGACTTGGTTATAAAATCAATATAAGTGTTTGGTTAATTAACTTTTTGTAACTCCAAAATGCTACAATTAAAAAAGCTGCTCAAAGCAACTTTTTCGATAATTTTTTATAAAAGAAATTATACCAAACAGCTATCAACTAACAGCTAATTTACCAAATACTTTTCTACAATCAGCTAATGTTATCAACTAGTTATATACTCTCCAATTAACCCAATTAGCTAACAACTATCCGTTAATAGCCATTTACCAAACAGGGCTGATATTTACTCCCGATCCATGTGCATGAATCAATATCTTTACATTATAATGATATGAGCTGAGATTAAGTTTAAAAAATAATGACCAAGCTAAGATTACAAAAACTAACATTTAGCGTTGTAATTATATTTGTGCAGGACCAAGGAAAAATGTGATGGAACCAACGGCACAAATTTACTAAGCATATGTGGAAGACCCTTAGGTCTTGACTTTAATCGTCGCACTGGTGATCTCTATATTGCTGACATTCATTTCGGGCTTTTAAGAGTCGGATCAAATGGTGGGCTTGCAAAGCAGCTAGCCGCCGGCATAAACGGCAAAAATTTCATCTTTGCAGACTCTGTATCCTTGGATCAATTAACTGGGGACGCATATTTCGTCGAATCCGGCGAGATATTCCTAACAAAGTACGGTGACACTCTCTCTTGTAACATTTTAAACAAAATTTTTAAGATCAAGCACTTATCATTACACTAAAACTATAGTTAGTAGCGAAGGCGTAACTTTATTTTCTTATAAATCGGCATACATTTTCGAGAGTCAAGATGCTGGACTTGGCCCTTTGTCAGCCTCTGTCAAACAATCCCCTAGCTATATAGTGCTGGACTTGACCCTTACTAGCTTCCGTCTAACAAATCTCCTACCCACATGGTGCTGAACTTGGCCCTTACCGGCCTCCGGCTTCCGCCCAACAAATCTCCTAGCCACATGGTGCTGGACTTGGCCCTTTGTCGGCCTCTGCCCAACAATCCCCTAGCTATATAGTGCTGGACTTGACCCTTACTGGCCTCCGTCCAACAAATCTCCTACCCACATGGTGCTGAACTTGGCCCTTACCGGCCTCCGGCTTCCGCCCAACAAATCTCCTAGCTACATGGTGCTGGACTTGGTCCTTACTGGTCCCCGCCCAACAATTCCCTCCCAGCATCAGCGCTCTGGTACCACTTGTTAGATACAATCTCCTAGCCACATGGTCTGGACTCGACCCTTACCGATCTCTGCCCAACAATCTCTCTCACACCACAAGTCAGTCCCTAGCTTTTATACTACTACGTCAAAAGCTATAGCTAGTAGCACAAGCGTAACTTTATTTTATGTTATACATTTTTTAGAGTCAAGGTGCTGGATTGAATTTACTTTTTACCGACCTCCTCCCAACAATTCTCCTTACCATATAGTGTTTGATTTGGCCCTTACCGACCTCCGACGACCAACAAAAATGTTAGTTCCGATCTCCTGATATATGATAGGAGCGAAGACCATGTTTGTTAACATAGTTAGCTTGTTAGTCAATTTTGACTTATTAGTCAATTACTTGACTTGGTTAAACAATCAATAGGAATGTTTAATTAATTAGTTTTTTGTAATAATTTATTACTCCAAAATGTTAAATTCAAAAAGCTGTTTAACAATAAGCTTTTTAAAAAAAATTATTTTACATGTAATCAAGTAACAGTTAACACTTCGTTTATCAAATATTTTTAGCTGCGCTATTTACCAAACACCCTAAAATCTTGGTTATGTTTGCAGCGACTTTGCACGAATTGCGCAGAGCGGAGACACGTCAGGGAGACTACTAAAGTACGAGGCGGCGACGGGACAGGTGACGGAGGTGCTTACCGGGCTGGCGGGGCCAGTCGGCAATGCAATCAGCGAAGATCATACCTTCATCTTCATCACTTTGTTCATCGGACGCAAGATTATCAAGCATTACATCAGAGGTCCAAAGGCTAAAACAACTGAGACAGTACTCGAAAACCTCGGAGGAAATCCAGAATTCGTGAAGAGGGCAACGTCGTTGTCGGGTGGTTTTTGGGTGCCTGTGAACACCCCTAGGGAGCAGCAGCCTTCCCCTATGACGGACTCCATTGCAGTGAAGTTCGACAGGAACGGCAAGATTTTGGAGACGAGGAATCTAACTAAAGATTATCCTAAGTTGCTTGGTTCCTATTTTGAATACTTCGGTAAAGCTTATACCGGGTCATTGGAGGCGGACTTTGTTGGTGTCTATAGGGCATGATCGATAAAGTCTATCAAATGATGTTTGTCTTCACGCTTCGCCAATCCTAATTATATAATGTCAACCTACATGCATGGAGTCCTAAATCAGTGTATATCTCTTACAACTTGTGTTCTCAGAGTCGTAATAATAAAACCTTTTAAATACCAGTGAATCAATCGCTGATTCTATTACATTGATTCTATTACATTGTAAGCACAAAGAGTCAACAACACTTCAGGCTCGATTTTATGACCTCCCATATATAAGCAGGCTTGGCCAATAGCTAATATATATCACCCCTAGAAAGTGAAATATTAAAAGTTGGATGGTGCTTTATTTATTTATTGAGCAAATACCAATTTTGGTCCTACGAGTATTATATTAGCAAAATGATAGTTTTGATTTACATATTTAATTACTACCAATTTTCATCCACAACTATTAATTTCGTGTCAAAATTGATCACGCCGGTCACCCTCCGGCTAAACTTTTAAAAACTTCTTTAGAATTTAAATCAAACACTTTCAAATTTTTGTAATTTATAAAAGGTAAAAACTTGTGTGAGATCTCGTCTCACAGATTGAAATCCGCGAGACAGGTCGGATCTTTTATTATATGGGTCAATACGCGCAATGCACAATCTCACGTTTCTCTCTCTGTTTCTGCCACATGATTTCTTCTCCCATATCCTCCGCTCATGCTCTTCGCCTCCTCCCATCTCTTCCGAGCTCCTTCTCCCCCGATCTCCTCCGTCTCCATTTCTACCGCTGCCTCCGGCTACGGTAATCATCTCAATTCGTAATGGCTAGTCTTAGATGGGTCTAATGAGAATTTATCTCATTCAAATCCCTAATTCTCTACCTAGAAATTGTTTCTGTCAATGTGAAAACATCATCTCTGTTGGTCCCGGAAGGGTTGGAGAAGTCTAGAGAGTTGTATATATTTTAAAACTTTTTACGATTCGTTAAAGTACCAAAGAGGTGACTTTAACATTTCGAAGAGTATACGCAACGAAATTATCTTAACCCCTTTTATTTATTTATTTTATTTTTTATCTTATTTGCACGTAAGTTGATCTTATTAAAATGCTTTGGTTTGAATGTGAATAGTTATGCAAGCGTGTAATGAAAATAAAGTAAAGAGAGAGATAGAGGAATTTTATACTGGTTCAGCCAACTCATCCTACTCCACTCTTCTCCTTGAAACTTCTAAGGAGATTTGCACTAGTCCTTAGTACAACATCGATGTTCAAGCCTTGAACACAAAGTTGACCTTAAACTTCACCAAGTTTATCAACTCCTCATCGAGTTAGTGAGTTTACTCCGCCTCTTTCTACTACTACCGAGTAGAGATTACAAGGTTAGATGAAAAAGTTATTCTTTCTCCAACAAAGAGCTTGGCTATGGATGGCTTGATCTTGACGAATGAAAGTAACACAAGCCTCTTGAAATCTAGATATTAACTTTTGAGCTTTTGTCTCTCTTTTTCACGACTGATCACTAGATGTGAAACACTTGCTTTGAATACTTAGAAATTCTCAATTGATTAGCTCCTTCTATCTCTTTGAGAGAAGGTATTTATAGGTGTTTAGAAAAAGGTCCGTTGGGGGGAAACCAATTTCAAACGGCTATTAACCAGTGTGTAGAGACCAATGGGTAATCCGGAGGGTATGTGACTTGTCAGACTTTCGAGCCGTTAGTGACTTATTTTGCGATGAACATATCTTTTTATTCTGCATAAAATATCTTGGCTTTTAAGGAAAAATCTTCCTTGGGATGTGTTCTTAGGACTATCTTTGTCTTGGACACATTTACCTAAGATATTAAAGTTTTGAATTGTTGCTTAGGGAATGTCTTGAGCAATCCTTTTCGAATGGTTAACTAGGTTAACACTTTGAACCTTAAATCTTTACAACCTCTCGGATACAAATGATTGACTTTTACCATTTGGTCTGCTTTATGCTTCAAAAGGTAGGTCCTTCCATCATTCAAACTTGCAAACTTTTTGGCTAAGAATGGTTGACCTTACCAATCGTTCTTCTACTCTCCGAATCTTCAGTCTTCTTGTCTTCATCTCGAGCTATTCGTATGGTAACCGTACCATTCAAGTTACTATTATATTTGAACTTGTTTGTTGAGACTGAGTGAAATGTGACCTTTCGAGTTAACATTCAAATTGGTTTGTTTAACCGAATTGTGACTACTTGAGGTACTATTCGGACTATTCAAATGTTGGGCATAGATAATCCTAAGTCTAGAATATAAAAGAATTAGAGACTAAAATTCCTATTAATTGGTATCATCAAAATCTAAATACAAAATGTTCCTAACAATCTCTGCGCAGAAATTCTTCCGGTGATCATTAAGTTTAAGAATTTTGGGAAATAATACTTCAATAATACAAAAGTATTATCATTTTTAAAAAAATGAAATCAAGGATTTCTAAATTCCTATTTCATTATTATATTTTTTAGAAAATATTATTAATACGGAGTGTGAAACCCTGTGTTGTGATGGAAACAATGAAGTTGCCATTGATGAGCATCTCACCTATCCTGAATTTGTATACAATGAAGGTAAACTTTTTAATTAAAAGGTACTAATTTATAATTGAAAAGTATTATGTATATGAATAAAAGTAACACTTTGATTTTTTCCCATATTCTGTGTAATACATGTTACTTCGAAAAAGTATTGCATTTCGAGTCTAAAGTATTATATTTTCTATAATAAGTAACAATTTAGTTGACAATAGTAATGTTGTGCAATATTATGTTATTATTATTGTGCTATATTTGATTTATTTTTAAAATTATGATTTATGTGATAATAAGTAAATGGGAGTGAACCGGGTAAATATTATATTCTTCCTTGATTTAGTCAGTTCTTAATTTTTTGGTTGTGCAATATTAAAGTTCTGAACCTTTTGGCAGGTGCCTATTGCTACAATTGGCCTCTTTTTTTGGATACATGTTTGCTCTATTGCTAGTTGCATTGGGTACAAAAAAAAAAAGAAAAAAAAAGAAAAAATAAAAGAAGCCTTCATAGGAGGTTCTGGCTCTTAATACCATGTAAAGGAAAATGAACCGAGGAAATGAATCGTATATTGATGTAGAAGCTAACAGGTATAAATACTATACACAGGAGGACAAAAGTTGTAACAACTACTCTAATATACCTATTCTAAAGGAATACAATGTGAATAAGTATAAACAGAAAACATCAACCACATATATTCTTAACACATTAAACATAATAAAATTGAGAAAGTGTTTTGGACAGTGACAAAACTTCTGCTGTTATTTCAACACTAATTGCTCATATAATCTGCAAGGACCACTTGACCACTTAAGGAAGATCAGTGATGGATATATTACGACCGGAACAAACCGACCCGGTGAGGTGGAGCAAGACCCGGAGAGGTGGAGCAAGACGTGGAGAAGTGGAGCAAGACCTGGAGAGGTGGAGCAAGACCCGGGGCCCTGACCCATGGGGCCTTGGCCCATAGGACTTCGGCACGCTGGACCTCGGCCCATAGGACCTCGGCACGCTGGACCTCGGCCTGGGGGGACCTCAGCCGGAGCAGGGTGTCGACACGGGGGAGGTCGGCGGAGCAAGGTGCCGACCCGGGGGTCGGTTAGGGAGAGGTCGGCCATCGACGGGCTGACATGGAACCGGTCAAGAGGACGCGGTCAACGCAGATCTAACCACCCCCCACCTTAGGGGGTGGTGGTTAGGGGTGGGAGTTGTATAAAAACCCCCCACCTTGTCTCTTTAGGACAACTAATTCATATCTAACATTCATTCTACACACTTTGTTCTAAAATATTATTGTAATAGCCAATTCTACGGCATTTAATACAATATACAGTCTCACGGCCTTTACGAAATCGTTTCATTTATTTACTTATTATCTATACTGCGTTCTTATCCGGGTTTGATAATTCGAGCCACCCCGGGTTAATTAAATCCATCATTGGTGCTCTTGTTGAGAGCTGTTGTACCAGCTCAAGCGTGTTCTATATCCAGTGGTCTACCATGACCAGCTACTATGACAAGATTGAGATCCAACTCGCGTCACACCAACGGTTCCCGCAGAACCCAGCTCGTCGCAACCGGGAACGGCCCTAACAGGGTCCTCAGCCTTCAACCGGCCACCTCTGCCAGGTCTGGGGGAGACATGAGGGATCGCCTCACAAATCACCGTAGCAGCGGCGCGCCACTTCCCGCCGCCCCCACTCCGCCCCTAGCCCTTGTCCGCGAAGGGGTGGAGGTCTTTGAGCAGGCCTTCACGGCGCTAGCCCGAGTCGCGCGGGGCCTCTAAGCAAGTGTACCTGCCGACCCAGGCGTCGACCAAGGGCTGCTGGCACCTCCTACACCTCCTCCCACCCGGGGGCGCAGCGGTCCAAGCACCCGGCCACCCCAGGCCCTTATTACCCAGGGGGAGGGGTCAATTCGTCCCGGTAGACGGACACAGGGAGGAGGAGACTCACGACGTGACCGACGTCATGAGGAGGATGGAAGGAGGTCAAGCCAAACCAGGCCTGCCATGGAGAGGCTGGGCAGCCGGGTGCCAGCCCGAGAGAGGTTGGGCCTGAGGCCTGCCGCCGACGAGCCTCCACCAGCAGAATCATGTTCCCGCAGACAAGCACGACGACAATCAGTCACCCGGAGGTCGCCAAGCCACGAACCCCGAGCCTAGCCGCGACGAGAGGCGGACTCGCGGAAGTCATCAGGTCGAGGGACCCGAGCCCAACCTCGACGTGAACAGGCCTCCCGGGTCGAACGATCAGGTGAAACGAATGGTAGAGCTCCGAGCTCCCACTGGGAAGAGGTCGAGTAGCTGCGGAGGAGGATGGACGAGCTCCAGAAGAAGATCGACGAGAGGGACGGGTCTCCAGAGCCCCAGGACGTGTTGTGCTCCCCGTTCGCAAACACCATCATGGAGGAGCCCTTACCTCGAGATTTTTGCTTTCCCACCATTAAAGCGTACTCGGGGACCACGGACTCGCGGGCGCACCTCACCAGGTATAGGGCCGCCATGATGATCGCCGGGGCCACCGACGCCATCCTGTGTAGAGGGTTCTTCGCCACCCTAGATGGGCAGGCGCACGATTGGTTCGCGTCCCTCCCGGAAGGGTCCATCTCCACCTTTGCGGACCTCACCCGGCAGTTCTTGTCCCATTTCGCCACCAACATACAGCGGAAAAAGCAAATCGCCGACCTGTGCAATCTGAAGCAGGGGAGCTCGGAATCACTAGCCGAGTACCTCAGCAAGTGGAAGAAGGAGACCATGGGGGTCGCCAACTTCGATGGGAAGTCGGCCATGCCGATTTTCCGAAACAACATCAGGTCGGGCGCTTTCCACCAGGACCTCATCAGGTACCCTCCCAGGAGCTACACCGACCTGATGGACAGGGCAGCCAGGTATGCTGACGCTGAGGCTACCAAAAAGAGGAAGAAGGAACAGGAAGAGGGGAGAGGTCGGAAAGATAAGGCACCTAAAGAGGAGCGCAAGGCGCCGCGGCCACACCGACGTGAATATACCGAGGGGCCCAGGTTGAACCCCACACGCTACCTCACCCCGTTGACACAACCTGTGGGCACCATCTGGCGCACGCGGAGGACCAGGGGATCATGGTGTTCCCGAAGGAGGAGTGCTTGAAGATATCGTGGAGGGGGGACCACAACAAGTATTGCAGGTTCTACCGGCAGAAGGGACACGATACGAACGAATGCATCCTCCTGAAGAGGCAAATCGATGAGCTCATCCAAATGGGCTACCTCGGTCAGTTCATTAAGAAGCCCGGCCAGGCGCAAAGCCAGAAGCAAGGCAATGTATGGAGGAAGGGGGGTGGTCAGGCGCCATCCACCTCGGCACCCCGTAAGAGGGACCACGACCACAGCTCTGAGGAGGAGGAGAAGACGACGGAGGACTCTCAGCCCCCGAAGAAACGCGACATCTACGTCATCTTTGGGGGGCCCGAGGGAGGGGACTCGCCAGCCGAGCGGAAGAGGTGGGCGAGAAGCTTGTACGTGGGGGAGGTCACATGAACCCCCCACGAGAAGAAACCGAAAAGAGAGCCCATCACATTCACCGACACCGACCTGCCAGATGGGCCCTTCCCCTACCGAGATTCCCTGGTGGTCAAGCTGGACATCAACAACGTGGTGGTGCACCGGGTGCTCGTCGACACGGGTAGCTCGGTAAACGTCATGTAGTACGACACGTTCACCCTATTGGGACTCTCAAGAGGGCAGCTGGAGCAAGTACGGACCCCCCTGTCCGGGTTCACGGGGGACTCAATTGAGACCGAGGGGTCGATCAATTTGGAGGTGTAGATAGGTACCCCACCTCACACCAGGAGGTGGGATGTCGAGTTCGTAGTCGTCAAAATCATTGGCGCCCACAACATTATACTCGGTCGACCCACCTTAGAAGACCTCAGGTGCGTGATTTTCATGGAGCACCTGTGCCTAAAGTTCCCGACACTAGCCGGGGTCGGGATCGCCCCCGGGGGGACCAAAAGGTAAGCTGCAGCTGCTACTTGAAGGCGTGCCGCCAAATTGGTCAGAAGGACCTCCAGGTCCACACCATCGCCGAGAAGGCATTTCGGGAGGAAGCAGGTCGACCTCGGGCCGAGAACGTAGTCGAGACAGAGGAGGTCATCCTCGACCTCAGCCGACCTGACCGGGTCGTGAAGGTAGAGGTCGGCCTCCCGGCCGAGCTCCGGGCACGGATAATTAACACCATCAGGAGCTACAAGGAGGTCTTCGTATGGGGCCCCGAGGACATGCCGGGCCTCAGCCGAGATGTGATCACGCACAAGTTGGCTGTCGACCCCGCGGTCAAGCCAGTCCAGCAGCGCAAAAGGTAACTCTCTGCCGAGAGGAGGGAATTCGTCAAAAAGGAGGTCGACACCCTGCTGGAGATCGGTCATGTCAGGGAGGTCATATACCCCACCTGGCTAGCCAACGTGGTCCTCGCCCCAAAGCCACCCACCTGGAGGATGTGCGTGGACTACACCGACCTCAACAAGGCCTACCCTATTGACCCCTTCCCCCTCCCCAACATTGACCAACTGGTGGACGAGACTGCAGGTTGTGCCCTCATGAGCTTCCTAGATGCGTTTAGGGGGTACCACCAGATCTTCATGGAGGAAGCCGACGAGGAGAAGACAGCCTTCACCACACCAGAGGGGGTCTATTGCTACAAGGTCATGGCTTTCGGGCTGAAAAATTCAGGTGCCACTTACACCCGAATGGTGGCCAAGGTGTTCAAGCAGGTCCTCGGCTGCAACCTGCAGGCCTACGTCGACGACATGATTGTTAAGAACACCGACGCCAACCTCCACACGGACGACCATACCGAGGTATTTTCAATTATGCAACGTTTCAATTTACGGTTGAACCCTAAAAAGTGCACCTTCGGGGTGTGTAGGGGGAAATTTTTGGGGTACATGGTCTCGAAGAGGGGCATTGAGCCCAACCCCGACAAGGTCAAGGCCATCCTTGACATGGAGCCCCCGAGGTCCCTCTAGGAGGTCCAGCGCCTCAATGGGCGGTTGGCAGCCTGGGGCCGTTTCTTTTCGAAGTCGACCAAGAAATCTTTGCCGTTCTTTGGAGTCATAAAAAAGACTAAGGGCTTCGAGTGGACCGAAGAGTGCCAGAAAGCATTTGAAAACCTCAAGACGTACCTGATGTTACTCCTCCCTGGCCAAACCCGTTAAGGGGGTGGTCCTGTATCTGTACCTGGGAATCTCACAGGCTGCGGTCAGCTCCGTGCTGGTCCGGGACGACGAGGGGGTCCAACGGTCCGTCTACTATACGAGCCGAGCTCTGCGGGGACGGAGATCAGGTACACACCCGTGGAAAGGCCATCTTCGCGGTAGATGTGACGGCAAAGAAGCTGAACCACTACTTCCAAGCCCACCCCGTACAGGTCCTCACCAACCAGCCACTAGACGCAGTACTGAGGGCCTCGGGGTCGGCCAGCAGGTTGGTCAGGTAGGCCATGCGACTGAGCCAATTCGACATCCAGTTCAAGCCCAGACCCGCCATCAAGGGGCAGGCACTGGCTGACTTTATAGTCGAGTGTACTGCCCGGGAGGCCACGGAGCGGGTCCGGGACGAAGACGAGGAGTGGTGGACCCTCTCAACGGACGGGTCCTCTAGCACCAAAAGTTGCAGGGGTGGAGTCGTCCTCATAACACCGGAGGGGTTTCGGGCCTACTACGCCCTCCGCTTCGCGTTCAAATTATCCAACAACGAAGCCGAGTATGAGGCGCTCCTGGGGGGGCTCCGCCTCGCGCTAAATAAGAGGGTGGAGAAGCTCAAAATCCGATGTGACTTTAGACTTGTGGTGGGACAGGTAACAGGTGAATTTGAAGCACGTGATGAAAGAATGAGGAGGTACAAGGACGTGGTGCTCCAACTTTTGGGGCAGCTGATCAATTACGAGGTCCTACAGGTGCCCCGAGACTAGAACACAGATGCTGACATGTTATCCAAGCTCACCCAAGGGGCCCTGGAGCATATTTCAAAAATAGCCCGAATTGAAGATTTCAAGAGGTCGAGCCTGGACGCCTACCCGGTCCAACCTGTGCAGACCCGACCGCCCTGCTGGTTGGACCACCTCAAGGAGTACAAAAAGACAGGTGCACTACCCCAGACGAGGTCGACGCCAAGCTGGTGAAACGTCGAGCCCCTACGTACGTGATCATGGGGGACACACTTTACAAGAGGTCCTACAACGGCGCCTTGCTGCGCTGCCTATACCCAGACGAGGCCAGGTCAGTCATGGAGGAGATCCACGAGGGGATTTGCTCCGCCCACCAGGGGGCCTTCGCCATGTCCTGGAGGGCCATCTTACAGTGGTACTTTTGGCCCAAAATGGCCAAGGAGTGCTCCGACTACGCCAGGAGTTGCGAGACATGCCAGCACTTCTAGGTCACCCCCGGGCGACCCGCCACGAGCTACACCCCCATCAGCTCGGTCATCCCCTTCTCCAGGTGGGGAGTGGACCTAGTGGGAACTCTACCCATGGGGTCGAGAAAAAGGAAGTACCTCATAGTTGCAGTGGACTACTTTACCAAGTGGGTGGAGGCGGAACCGCTGGCAACCATAACAAGTGCCCGTTGCAAGCACTTCGTGTACAAAAATATTTTGTGCCGTTTTGGAGTCCCGATGCAACTCATCACCGACAACGGACGCCAATTCGAGGGGTTCTGTGCAGAATGGCACATTACTCACAGCCGGGTGGCCGTGTGCTACCCTCAAGCAAATGGGCAGGTGGAGAATGCCAACTGCACCATAGTGGGTGGCCTGAGAAAGAAACTAGAATCCGCAGGGGGGGGGGGTGGTTGGAGGAGCTCGATGTCATTCTTTGGGCCTACCGCACCACTCCCGGGGGGCCACTGGGAAGACACCTTTTTCCTTGGCCTACGGTTTCGAGGCCCGAGCTCCAGCGGAGGTGGTCATACCTTCCCAGCGGGAGGAGGACTACGACCCCGACACGAACGAGGAAAACCATAGAACTGACCTCCACCTGATTGATGACAGACGCGAAGCAGCTGCGATCCAAGCTGAAAACTACCAGAGGCAAACCAAAGCATACCATGATAGGCGGGTCCGACTCCGCTATTTCCAAGTGGGAGACTATGTGCTCAGGAGGAGGGAGGCAAGCCAACTCCATGCCGGAGGAAAGTTTGCTGCCAACTAGGAGGGCCCATACATTGTAATAGCTGTGGTCCGCCCGGGCAGCTACAAGCTCAAGACCCCCAAAGGAAAGATGATAGCTAGGGTTTGGAACTCGAAACATCTGCTGAAATTCTACCAGTAGACCCGCCACGTGAAAGGTGGACCTCGACATTGCTATCCTAGGATGAGGATCATTCCCCTCCCCCAAATAATGTCTTAGTAGACAGCAATAAGCGGAATAAAATATCAAGTTACGAAATCTGTTAGGAGGAGGACCCTTGTTGCGAAATTGGTGCTCATTTTTTCTCCCTTAAAAAAAAAACCACGTAAAATGAGGGGGAACGAGTGCTCACCCGGTTTCCCCCTGCGGACCCTAAGGGGGCATGAGGTCCGACCTCGCGTACCAACCCCGATGGAGGACGCACCTAAGGGGGCACGAGGCCCGACCTCGCGTACCAACCCCGACGGAAGAGCCCGGTGGCTTGGTCCGATAGGACTCGGCCCAAGCGGCTAGCGCGCACCCTAAGGGGGCACGAGGTCCAACCTCGCGTACCAACCCCGACGGAGGAGCCCAGTGGCTTGGTTCGACAGGACTTGGCTCGAGTGGTTAAGCGCACCCTAAGGAGGCACGAGGTCCAACCTCGCGTACCAACCCCGACGAAAGAGCCTATTGGCGCAATCCAGAAGGACTTAGCTCGAGCGGCTGACGTACACTAAGGAGGCACGAGGTCCGACCTCGCGTACCAACCCCGACGGGAGAGCTCGGTGGCGTTGTCTTATGGGACTACGTTAAGGAGGCTAACACAAGGCCAAAAAAAAAAAAAGGCCTAACGCACCTCGGCACAACACCGGGGTGCACCATGGCTGCACTTTGGCACATTGCCGAGGTGCACCATGGCACCACCTCGGCAGTGTACCGAGGTGCATCAAGGAGGACCTCAGCGGGCTACCGAGGTCCATCCGTGT